AATAAGAAATTATAATTCTAATCTCTATTTCTTTCTAGGTTTCCACAATTCTAAAATATTTTTTTCGCTTCCTTCTATGACATTATCTGTTTGTCACATAACTTTGAAACCTGCACATTCCTGTTTCTTCTTACCGCGAATGAAAATAAATCTTCTTTCTCTATAGTTAGTATTAATTAATAATATGATAGCTGTTCAGTAGTACAATGTAGTAAGTGTTCGATAGTTACTCAATAATAGTTTATAGTGGTCTGATAATTAGGAACGCTCAGCTATTTGTATTACATTACTAAAAATATTATTGTAATTAGTTGTTAAATTAAAATCATTGCTAAATCTTATCATTAAACAATCGTAAAACAAATACCATATTTATTTAATAAAATTGTGAGCAAGAAGAAAAAAGAACGTGAAAGATAATATTATATAAAAAACGGAAAGAAAAAAGAGCGCATATAGATATTACGATAAGTATAGAATCACAATAAGAGGGTAAGAGAAAACACGAATATTTATAAACAGTTCTCAGCATTGTCCGATTTTCTATTGGAAGATACGATCCAATACGATACTGAGTAGCTATTCATGCAGAGGTCCGTTAAATAAATTTAAGTCATGTAATTAGATGAGAAAACAGTGGATGCGCTAGCCACTGCGTAAACGAATGCACCCATAGAGGCGTATTCAGATTCCCACTTGGATGCTCCCCGAATCCAATGTCATCTTTGTCTAAATATCTGTGATAAAAAATATATGATAAACAACAAGGATGATACCTCGGTGACATTCGAAAAAGAATCTGAACTTAGCATAGAATGGACTACCGATGGCGGTGGTGGATAGAAAGAGTAAGAGGCAAATAAATGAATGAACATTCTTTCTCTGTTTACTAAATCTGATTGGTTGGATCAGTACTGCTGGATCAATAACAACTAATCAGACTATAAATAAAGAAAGACGTTATCCATTTATCTGCCTCTCATTCTACTCGTGTTTCTATCCCCCCCCTCCTCCTACTGCCATCAGTAATCCATTTTATATGTCACGGTGTAAAAATATATGAATATAAGAATATAAGCTGTACTCACTCGGCCATATTTCACTAGAAAATGTCTTCCTCGGAATGAGGAAGTTCAATCGTGTGACTACAGATGTCGTATTGGTCGTGCACTGCACAATGGCATACAAAGAATGATGCAGATAATTTTTACTTGATTGCATAATTTATTATGTTTCGGATTTTATTGCAAAAAAAATGATAAAGCAAACTGATTGTTCTACATATAAAATAGCATTCATATAGCTTGCAAATTCTACACCAGAAGCAGAATTAGTAAATCTAAAATCTTGAAGAAAACTGACATCTTAATCATATGCTATTATATGCACTTTTTCAAAGCTTTTCAAATCATTGAATATTATTTTAGAAAAAACTTAGCTGTTTTAATATTTACGAACAAATTATTGATGATGTGATAAATATAATTATACTTTCATATTTCCATGTAATGATCATAAATTGAATACATAATAAATTGAACGTAATAAATTATTGTATTTATTATTATGAAACAACGCGAATGCGTCAATATTCATGCCAAATAAATAATGATTCATTAAAAAAAGCATGTGAAAGAAAAAAACAAGCAATTATATAATACTTAAAAACATTTACAATTAATTTCAATTTAATAAATTTCTATTTACCTATTAATTTTTATTTGTAATTAATTTTTTTTCGGTCATATTCGTTGTATGAAATCTTTTATTTATTTAAAGCCACGCAAAAATATAAATGCTCGACATATATGTCATCTAGTGGTTTACTATTCAGTACTATTTTCTCATGAAGAGACTAGTGATTTTATAGGATTGATACAACTTCTATTCTTACATCATGTTATATGTCGATAATATTAAGGGTTTAAGCACAAGAATTGTCGTAACACTTACTTAGAGACTGAAGTTGTAGACATAAGTAATTTTACAAAAGAAAGAAGAATATATGAATATATTTGGACTTCATATATAATTATACATGTTTATAAATATTTATGCATTTTATGTATGTTTATACATATAAATTTATACATATTCATACATGAAAAATTTTTTATCGTGTTGTGTTTATTGTGTTTAACTTTCTTTTGTATTTAAAAATTTATAAAATTTCCTGATATCTTTTTTTAAATATTGGAAAGTTTAAAAATTTCAGTAGTTTTCGACTAAAATCCTGTTTTCCTATCAATTCATCAATTCATTGGAACGTGTTCAAGTTGACTGCTTGCCGAGCAAATGAATATGGTTGATACTTATAGATCCAACCAATCACATTCAATCGCTCGGCGAGCAGATTAGCAGTTTTCGGCTTGAACGCACCACTGACAAGATAGCAGACAAATTGAATATTTCTGATTTATTTATGTTATATAATTTGGGAATGGTTTGGGGAAATTTGGAAAAAACATTTAAACATTTGGGAAATAGTATTTTTCTTATAATTAATAAATTTTATCATGTGTCAAGTTAGTAGACAGCAATTTTATTTAATGTGTTTTATGAATGGAATCGATTAGAAATCATTTGAGGAAAACATCTTCATTATTATTTTCATTTGGGAAAAGTCACTATTTAATAATTCAATAGATTTATACGAAAACGAACAAAGCCCGAGTGTAGTATGTGTGTAATACAATGAATATAGTAAACCTAAAATCGTCAAAAATTAATCAATTAAGCCTGGATCTTATGCGTAGTAAGAAATTATGTGTAATAAGAAATCAACTTAATCATAAACTTAATTATATTCAACTAATTCTCTTCACTTTCAACTGTGATTAGTCAATTCTTTATGGCTTAAGGCTTTTTACATTTATTATACCATCCGAAGTTTGAGAACGCAGTCTAACATTGGAAATTCAGATTTCGGAGTAATAATCTTTGAACATAAAAATATACAATGAAGAAGAAAATTTGTTAGTATGTGTTATTTTCTTAATTTGTAAATATTATTATTATTTAAATACAACTTCAAGAAGAAAAATTTTAATATTTATTTTTTATTTTTGTTATTTTTCAGTAAAGATGGACAGACGGTTTTATATACATACATGTATGTCAAGAGATATTATGTATATACACCTAATAAATATTTAAGTATTTCTTCTAGACATGAAAGCAATTTGCATTAATTTATAAAATATGTACATTTATTTATTTAATGATTATTATACACACATACATCTACATATATGTTTTTGTAATTTCTAAGATCGTATAATCTGCGATAAATAATTGAGTTTGTTTTTAAATAATGTTATCTGTGGATAACATCAATATATA